CACTGTGAACAACAGGGCAGCCACACAAAATGAACAATGAAATCAGGTCTGTGTTCTAAAAAGAATACTCTGACACAAGATGGAGAAAGGTTGAGAAGAGATAAGATATAAGGCAAGGTTTTAGGTTGTTGCAATAATCCAAGCAAAAGATGACAGTGGCCAGACACAGTAGACAATTTCTAGTGGGTCTTTAGGGAGTAAAGCTGACAGGATTTGATGACTCACCAAAGACGAGTGAGGAAAGAGTAACTCAGCAGGTGGAGGAAGCCATCATGGATAGAGGGAACTTATAATGGCTTATCTTTCTCCCACAGAGTGGCTGGTTGTTTCAAACCACTGGCCTTTCTGTTAGCCGCCAAGTGCTTAACCGTTGTGTCACTGGAAGAAGATGTGGCAATCTACTTCCATAAAGATTTACTGTCCTACAGGTTCTCTATGCGTCAGACAGGGAACAAGGTGAGCCTGGAACATCGTCTTCTAAAAAGCAAGGAAGTGCTCAAAGATTGACACAGACACTGAGTTTCTGTTAAGGATGATGGAAAAGTTTGGATACAGATAGTGGTGATGGCTGTACAACAAGATGAACATAATTAATGTCACCGAATTGTAACTGTAAAAAATGTCGAAACAGGAAATGTTTTGTTATATATGTTTTTCCATATATCAAGGTGTGAAACCCCCTTGTGGTAAACAATTTGGCCTTTGATCCTGGTTCTTGCTAGCTGGACCACACCTGAAGCCAATGAGTGGGAATGACCAGCTAAGAGGGATCACCTGGGGCCAAATACTGATTAAGCCTCAGGAGACATAATGTAATTCACGATGGGCACATGATGAGGCTAATAAAGACCTTGAAAGACAGAAGCTCAATGGAGCTTTCTGGGTAATGACAGTGAACATCTGCTCTCAGGAGGGTTAAGTGCATCTCTTGGGGACATGGAAGCTCTGTACAGAGACCTTTCCAGGCCTCACCTATGCGCGTGTACCCCTTTTTTGTCTGCTAAAGACAGCACCCTCCCTAGAATTTGTAATTCTAATGATTTACATGTACCCACTGACTTAGGCCCAGGTGAATGTGGATGAAAAGAGAAAGGGCCAATACCTGCTGACAAGCCCCAGGTGAATAGGAGATGAGAGAGAAAAGGCTGCACTGGCAACTGAGTCTGAATTCATCAGGGAAGAGAAGCTGAAATTTCCACAGGACGCAGTTGGCATGTGGAGTGGGATTCACTATCCACTGCACATTTCGCATCCAAAAAACAAACCGGCCAACCAACCCCGTCGTTCAGTCTATTCTAGCAATTCTATAGGACAGAGTAGTACTGCCTCACAGGGTTTCCAAGGCAGTAATCTTTATGGAAACAGCCTGCCACATCTTTCTCTGTGGGGCAGCTGGTGAGTTCAAATTGGCAACCTTTTGGTTAGCAGCTGAACATTTAACCACTGCGCCACCAAGGCTCTTCATCTGACATCAGAGGGGGATGACCTCAGTCTCCCTGGACTGGTTTGATACAATTGGCGATGAGGATGGAATGGATTTGAGAGGCCCTGACTGTGTAAACACACACACAGACACACACAAACACAGAGACTGATACAGAAACATCAAAAGGACTGACCAAATGTGGGATAACTTGAGCATCAAAAAGAGTAACGAGGACTAGCACACACTAGCAGAGTTGTTAAACAGCCTGTTCTTGGTGCTATTTCATTCATCAGAATTGTGCCTCCATAGTTCTTCTTGGTGCTGACTTTAAAGTTTGATCAGTGCCAAAATTAGATCTCAGAAATATCTATGTATGTAAGTGCACCCTGTTCATTTCTTGTTTTTCTATTCTTTTTAAAAGGCCCAGTCTTCTTGAGCATTGACCTTAAAAGAATTTTTCAGTAAACCAGAACCACAACTCTACTTTACAGAACAGCATCTGGATCAGCTGGTATGTGTCCTTTGCATCCACCCATCCATACAGTTCACCTTGAACTGAAAAGCACTAAATTTTGGGGTTCCAACTCAATGCCACAACATGAGGTGATCTCATTGGTTTAGCTCCCCATCTCTCCTTCCTGCCATCCCCCCACCTTCATCAGCTCCTCAACCCCCACATACCAGTGTATATTTAGGGCTTCCATTACTGTGATTTTCTTAACTGCTAATCTTTTTGGTCATTAAACTCGGTCACTGGCAGATGGACCAGATAATTACTGGTGTTAGCCAGCCTCTTTATAATTCTGTATGAGAAGACTGAAAACTGAATTCCTAAACTAATGTTAAATTGGTCCTTCAGCTTTGCTGTTATGCCCTGAGTACAATGTTTTGTTAGTAAGATTTGATATTTAATTCCAAAATGTCCTAGCTAACCATTATCCGAGTCTACTGTTTCTCTCATTTAATGTAAAACAAAAGAATTATTCAGCAGGTCACTACATCACAGTGTTAACTACTGCCATGGAGTCTATTCGCCTCACAGAGACCCCTCAGGGCAGAGTAGAACTGCCTCAAGGCTGTAAATCTTAACAGAAGCAGACTGCCTGCCTCATCTATCTCCCACAGAGTAGCAGTTGGTTTGAACCATGGACCTTTTGGTCAGCAGCCAAATGCTTTACCCACTATGCTGCCAGTGCTTCTTCACACAGTGATAGTTACAACAAAAACGGTATCCTTCTCCAGAGTTCTTTGACTCCTCGTTATACACTTGCCACACAGAAAAAATTCAAAAGGGGCTTCAACCTTGTTCTGAACCCCTATACATATAATGCCCTTTTTTTTTTTTCACTTTAACTAAATAAATAAAGGTTTATTATGGTCTTGGCAGGGATATAATTTTTTCATTCTCAGAGAGTCTCGTAGTTATTGTGAAAGAAAATGGCTGACTCTGCCCTATTTCTGAGAAGCAAAAACCACCATCATGACTGAGATCTCTCTAGGAGGCCACCGCCAAAAAAACTCAGTTTATTCAAGCAACTCATGGAAAAATACCTCACATTTATACACATGTATCCATCCAGGTCTGGAATGGAGATGAAGACGGTTGGCAAGGAGGAACATGTGATTAGAAGAAAGAAGCTCTGTGACTGTGAGAGTATATTACACTATCGTGCCTTCCATGTGAGGGGCCTAAGTTCAATTCCCAGTTAATGCACTTCACACGCAGCTGCCACTCATCTCAGTGGAGACTCGCATGCTGCCATGACGCTGAACATTGGGTAATCAACTTCATGGTGGAATCTGCTGTGAGACATTAATCAGTGGAAGGGTAGCCACTTTTGGGGTGTGGCCTGCTTCCAGTATACATGGAGAAACTTTGAGAAAGGTCTCTAGCTTTTTGGCACATTTGGATCCTGTGTTTGGCCGAGTCTTCATCTCCAGTTCCTGGACTTGACCCAGTGGCCTGCTGTGTTGTCTGCCAATCTTGGGATCATTCCTGGACTTGAACCACTGGTCTACCCTACTGCTTGCTGATCGTGGGATTTGCCATTTTACCTGCCAATCTTGGGTTCATCAGACTCAGCAGCCAGTGCCTGCATGAGTCAGAAGAGGCCTCTGGCTCCAGTGGGCCTGGAACCAGAAGCAGAGCTGAGACCCAAAGTTGAGGGGCCTTCGCTCAGCCCCTAGAGCTGACCCTCTGAATTCAGACTCCTAGCCTCCTAAACTGTAAGAGGATAAATTCCTGTTCGTTAAAGCCATCCACTTGTGGTATTTCTTCTCTAGCAGTACTAGAGAACTAAAACATAGGTGACCATTCATCCATTGTCAGGGTTTCAACTGTCACTTATACAATGATAACTTTTCTTGAAAGCCATTCCAAGTCGTCATGAGTGCTATCACCAAAACAAAGGCCAAGCCATAGAATTATCATTTACTTTTCTCTCCCTACTTAGCCTTCCTTAGAGGAGAAGCTAACATAGTAAAAAAAAAAAAAAGCAGCCAAATTAGAATTAGACCTGAGTTTGAATTTTAGTTCTGACACTTGTAAGTAATATGACATTGGACAAATTCCTCATCTCTGAGCTTCATCCCTGAAAAATGGGATAATATTACTTCCATGATGTTTTTGTACAGATTAAATAAAACGAATTACAAAAAATTCTTCTAGTAGAGGCTTTCAATAATGTCAGCGTCACTAAAACTCAACTGTTCTTATAGTTTCACACATCACCTCTGTGCTAAAGTTCCTCACATCTATTTTCTTTGGCTCTGCCCTCTCCCTGAGCTCTGGTCCTACATCTCCATCTGCCGATTTGACAGTTCCACCTGGGTCTCTCACTGGCACCTCTAATGAGACATGCCCCAAATTGGACTTAAGATCCTACTTACAAACCAATGACCTCTCTCAATGTCTCCAACTCCATTCATCATAGTAAACACGCCGTATGTCCCTTGTATCCCTCTTTTCCTTTCCACTCCTGCTACTACAACTCTCACTCAGGTTCTCATCACCTCACGCCACACACCTCAAGCACAAGAGCCTTTCAGGCTGTCTCTCTGACTTAAAGCTCTGCCTCTCCCAATCCATCCTGTTTGAGTTTGCAAATTATTCTTTTTCCAACCAGATTTGTAACATCAAGCCCTGAACAAAATCTTCAGACACGTCCCCCAGCCCCATGTAGCCTGTTATTTATGACAGAAGAGCCAAATCCACTAGTGTCCTGATGACACAAAGAATATGCAGCCAGTGTCCTTGCCTCAGAATGTACAAAGCACTGAGTAATGTCATATGATTACTGTGCAGAAGTAAAGCTCCTGGGATAAACGGATCATAAAAAAAAGCATTTTTAAAAACATCTACTGAGAACTGGAAATTTTTTAACCAACTTTCCTTATATTTAGTAACTACAATCTCAATGTGCCACAAACCACCCTCAATGACACTAAACTACAATAATCCAACGATGTTAAATCACTTTCCATGTTTTAAAATATTAAATTGACTCAACAAACGTTTGAGCCTTTAATACATACATGACATGGCAAATTTGGCCAATCTCAGACCTGTCCTTACCATTTTGTTCATCCAACTCATTCCCAATTTCCTGCCCCATTTGTTTTTGGCGACTTATGATGGAGGAAAGGGCATCAAGACCTGCATCCTGTTCTGAAAGAAAAAGTGAAACAATCAATTAACTGAAAAACCAAAGAAAGACAATTTAAAGTCCAGAAATATATACAGGCATGTAGTACAATTCAGTATATGATAAAAGTTACCTTTTAAGTAATGCAGAAAAAAAATAGGTAAAACAATTAACATTATTGGAACACATAAAGAAAAATTAAATAGCTTACACTAAAATGATTTTCAGATCATTTAAATTATTAAATATTAAAAATGAAAATAATACAAGATTTTGACTAGATAAACATTTAAACATTCTGACATACAATACAAGCAGCGCTGATCGCACAGTGCCTAAGGCATTTGATTACTAACCAGAACGTTAGCAATTCAAAGCCACCAGCCACTCCACAAAAGGAGGATCGGGTGATCTACTGACTGCCTTGGAAACCCAATGGGGGTCACTATGAGTTGGAATCAACTCAATGGCAGTGGGTTTGGTTTTGGTATGGACATATAATACATAAAGAGCATGTACAAATCAATTTTAAAACTTAATAACCCAATTTAAAAATGGGCAAAGGAGATACACAGAAAATTCATATAAAAAATGGAAAATAAAACTTGTAACTACTAATTCTTTTAAGTAAAATGATTTTTTTTTTTTGGCTTATCAGATACGTAAGAATTAAAAAGAATGGTAATACCCACAGTTAACTATGATTTTTTTTTTTTGGCTTATCAGATACGTAAGAATTAAAAAGAATGGTAATACCCACAGTTAACTAAAGTGTGAGAAACTAGAAACTCCCATGTACCATGTGATGGGAGGATAAGCTGATACACCTTTCTAGAGAGCAAATTGTGCTCAACTTTTTAATCTATCAATTTTATTGAAACATTGTTGTGTATGCCAGTTATCTATCTATTGCCTCTTAGCTCCAAATTCACCCTTCTTGACTGCTTTGTGAAAATGGATCCAGACTCTTTACATATTTTTCCTTTGTGACCTCTATCATCAGAGGGTGCTTGAGAGACACTGAAGGAGGAAAAGGGTGTTTGCTACGGGGTTCCAGCCTGTTCTCCTGACAGGCTCCTGCAGTTCTTTAATGTCAGCTCCTACAGAGCAGTCAGCAGCACCCAGTGACCAGCAACCTCTCCCAACCCAACTCCTGACACACCCTCTGCAGTGCAGTGAATTACTTGATATGGCTCTTCTAGCCATGGTCTTTGTGACTTCTACCAGATGACTGGGAAGACTATGCAAAAATAAGGTGCTTATGGCCCACCAAGGCAATTAAACAAGTCTACGAGGTGAACAATAACTCTAGGAAGGTATGCACTCCTTAGAACAATCAATCATTTGAGATCAAAAGGGCAGCATTTGCCCAAGGACAAAGTTCAGAAGACGGGAGGGGTTAGAAAAGAATGAAGAATGGAAACGAGAAACCCAGTGAAGAAGTAGGAGGAGTGATGCTTTGTTGAAGGGACTGAAATGAATGACATGGAACAAAATGTGTGTGAATTGTTGAATGGAAAACTGATTTGCTATGTAAAATTTTATCCAAATCACAATAAAAAGTTGTTCTGGTTACCTAATGCTGCTCTGACAGGAAATATACCACAAACGGGATGGCCTTAACAGTTTATTCTTACAATTTGGAGGCTCTAAGTCCAAGTTCAAAGTGCCAGGCT